TTTCATGTTGGAACCCAGGCCACATACAGCTTTCCTGTAGCTGTCTTCTTTTCTGGCTACCCACCACAAATCCCCACCTAAGTGGTAATCATGGCTTCAGCCCTGTCCCTCCCTCCCATCCCCCTTTAATAGACCCTGCCATGAGGAGGTCATTACTAAATGGCAAGAACCATCTGGAGCCATGTGGTTCTAATTCGAAACCTCCATCTCTTTCCACTGGGACAGAATTGCCTCCTCTCCCATTTGTCGGCATCTGATGACCTCGTCTTGTAAAAATATTTATATGGAAAAATTTGTATGGAAAAATGTATTCTAAGTCCAAAATGACTTGCAAAATTTAATACAATTTATTCCTAAAATGAGGTTAATCCATACTTAAAGCATTCTAAAGAGTTTTAGCTTTCTAACCCTTAAGTGACAAATGACATAAAAAGAGGTTAAGGATGCTCCCCTTAAATCTATTGGACAAGGTTTCCAAGTCAACCTTGACAAGCTCTACACTCAACCCCTTCCTAATATTACTAATCATTTCTTATTGTTCTCAAGGGTCTATTCAGAGTTTAAAAGTTACTTTCCAGAAGGAAAAAGGCACCAGTAAATAGTCTTGTTGTTCCACATCAACAATCCATCCTGGAGAATGCAGTCAATTTCTAAATGTGCAGGTTTAAGCATCTCATCTAGTAGGCATTAGATACTTGTTGACTTTAGAGCACTTAAAACTCTCAAAAATCTAGGTGTTAGAAAGAAGACGGGAGCTGAGCTCGCGGTATACATGACTGTTTTCTCTTTCTTAAACTGGGTCCTGCAGAATGTCTTTTCACTTGTTACTTCACTACACAGAAACTGGCCTCTGTTTCATTCTAGGTACGATAGGGTGGGGTGGGAGACGTGTCTAATTTGCACTAAGTAAGTGGGGACTTGATTTTTGGAAAAAACAAAACAAAACAACCCCACAAATCTATTACATACATACAAGTGTGTGTATGTGTATCCATCAATCAAAGCACATTCAACTTAATTATATAGACATGATTTAGATTATTTCAGTTTCCTCCTTAATTATATCAGGTTGTATCCATTAATTCAGCAAACATTTGAATTGAGCTCTGTGCTCAACTATGTGCTCAGCTTTGTGCTAAATACTATAGTATAAACTTCAGTAAAACATTGTTTCTGCCCTCAGGGAGTTACATTCTAGTTTGTTTAAAGGAGATTCTAATAATAGAAGAACAATTTTCAGTGAAGAGGTTGTTCATCCCATGAAACTGAAAATTGATATAATGTGACGTATAATCTGGTACAAAATTTCTTTAATCAGAAAGTGGTAGGAGGGTCCAATTTAGTTTCAGAGTGTTGGTAATTTAGCAGCTTCCAGCAAAACATGAGTCTTTCAGAATTCTCAGCCATAGGATTGCAATCTTTTGAATTAGATTACAGAGCAAACCTTCTTTGCTTGAACACTTTTTTCTTATGGGATAGGCTTGGATTTTTGAAAGTTTTTTTTTTTTTTTAATGTTCTGATTAAAAGAAAAAAAACGCTATATTTACCACTGTCCCTTAGAATGACAAAAAATAGCATATGTATTAAAATGGAAAAAGGGGATTATCAATTTTGTGACACTCCCAAAAGACTATAGATGGGGTTGATAATCACTGGACTAAATTTTTTTTTTTAAAGATTTTATTTTATTTTGACAGAGAGAGACCCAGCGAGAGAGGGAACACAAGCAGGGGGAGTGGGAGAGGGAGAAGCAGGCTTCCCGCCGAGCAGGGAGCCCGATGCGGGGCTCGATCCCAGGACCCTGGGATCATGACCTGAGCCGAAGGCAGATGCTTAACCGACTGAGCCACGCAGGCACCCCATCACTGGACTAAATTTAGAGAAAATAGTTTATAATCTTTTCGGTAGGCAAGAAAGCAAGAAAAGCTCTTTAGGGGTGCCTTTAGGAGTTTTTGTCATTTATGTCTTTATGCTTAAATTATATGCTCACAAGGCAGTATCTGCTTTACTGGGGCTTTCATTTTCAAATAACGTATGTAGATATACACAATGCACACTTATTTCAATTTTGAATAAATTAAAGCATAACTATATATTTTTTCTTTTTGGGGGGGCAGGAGGAGAGGGGGAGAAGGGCAAAGGGAGAGGGAGAGAGAGAATCTTAAGCAGGCTCCATGCCCAGCATGGAGCCTCACACAGGGCTCGATCTCAGGACTCTGAGATCATCTGAGTCGAAATCGAGAGTAGGATGCTTAACCGACTGAGCCATCCAGGCTTCCAATAACTCTACATTTTTATATAAAAATGGTAGTTTCTATAAAACATACTGCTTATATCAATAGATGAATTGCAACTTTTCCTCCCATTTATCTTAAGAAAAAGAAGAGGAGAGGAATAAGACACTTTAGGGTAAGGGGAAGCCTGGCTTTTGTCTTACTACCCTCCCCCCATCCTCCTCAAGAGGCTATGGCGTGTATGGCTTTCTTGTAAGAGTTCTTGCCTTCAACTTCCCTTTCTCTGTTTACTCATTTTGTTTACTTGTGCAAGTTACTCATTAGTTCTGGAAAAGCACTTAAAAAGTATCTGGCATGTAATAAGAATGCAAATGTTAGCTGCTTTATTATTATTACTACTAAATTGAACGGAACAAAGGAATTAAAAATACTGGGCAGATTATGAATTGACCCTGGAGGTTATGAAAGAGCTCGGTTCAAATGCCTGGAACTCTAAGAATTGTTTAGTGCTTCAGCGATTGAATTAAAGGAAGGCACCAAAGGCCACTTGGTACATTTGTTCTTCTGAGGAATTGTGGTATTCTGAGGAAGTACAGAGGTGATGGCCTTGAGAAATCCTATTTATCAGTCTAGAGTTGTGAAGGTTAAAGGCTAAAAGCATATGTGAAATACATTGCCAATGAAGTCAGTTGAAGACCAGCTGCCCTCTTTTACCAGAATTACTTAGTATTATTCTAGAAGTTTGTTATTGTTGTCAAATGAGAAGAAGAAACTAGTAGCAAATTTATAATATAGGAGCAAAATTATCATTTTTAAATAATATTGTTCAAAATAGAGGATTGAAGATGATAAGCCAAAAAACTATAAGAATTAATAATATTTTAGTAAATGAGAAAAAATAAATATATTGCAAAATAAATAAACTTCAAAAAAATACATTAACAATATCTAACAAAGTATAATAAAACATTTCATGGATCTTAGTAGAAAAAATGTTAAGCTTACAAGAAAGACTTAAGAAATATGAATTAACTGTGTAATAACTATTAATTTTCCTGATAGGATTTTTGTCAAGGCAATTGAAAAGGAAGTTGAGTAATTGAACCCATGTTTATGGGTATAAAGATATGGATTCATATCGTTAACATGTGGATTCTTTCCAAATTAATTTATAAATGAAATCCCAATTATAATCTCAAAGGGATTACCAAAGTATGTGTGTCAAGTGTTGTGTATGATAAAGATGGCATTTACATTCTGTGAGAGAAGAATGGTTTATTCAGAACATGATAGATTATTGAGAAAATAAAACCCAAACTTCATTATTGCAGGGTGAGGTGTTTAAAGGCAGAAACCAAAAAGGAAATGGATGGTAGATTTGTCAACAAGAAAAAATCTAAAATTTGAAAGATCAAAGTACCATATATAAGCAAATGTCACATGACAAACCTAGTTAAATATTTGCAGTTGTAGTGATCTAGAAAGAGTAAGTTTTGCCTTGTATAACCATTAATATCTCCTAGATAAAGTGTATTTTTTAATTTTTAAAAATATAAATACTTCTTTAAGAATAAGGCAATAAGATCTAGACTGGTTTTCATTTCTAAGAGCATTTTCCTAGTTCAATTCCTCATTAGTTATTTAATCAGAAGTCTGCAATAAGATGAATCTTGTGGCATAAGAAATTGGTATTTTCTGGATTCATCTTAATATGTTTTTTGTACTTGGACACAAAGCAACTATTGATTCTCCTATGAGACTGATTTTATTATTAGCTTGTTTTCTCTTCCTTACCTTTCTTCCTTTTACCCTGATGAGAAAAAAAAACAAAACTCTAAAGGCCTGAGATATAAGGGAAGCCATTTTAGATTTCTTTCTAAGTCAGCATGACTGTACATAAACTTGGTTTAATCCAAAAGCCTGATTTATGGCCTGCCATGCATATGTTATACACCTGCTCTGTAAATGAGTAGCCTAAAGGAAAACCATCTTGTCTTTAAGATATTGATCAATGCTCCTACTCTCTGTATTCCTTGACATTAAAACTTGTGTTGCCTGCCTGTATGCTAATCTATAATCTTTTGAGCTTTTACAAGTTGTAAAAAAGTATATAACCCTGTAAAAACTGTTTATTCTACAAAGCACTTTCTTCCCTGTGAAGAGTGTGTTTCCTGGGCAGCTGTCCTAACTTGGCCTCCAGTAAAACTCTTCTCTTGCTTTTAGAGATTCTAAAATGTTTGCTTGTTTTGCGTCAACAACCCCTCCATCTCTTCCTTCCGTCTTTACTTATTTCACTTTACATTTGTTTAAAAAATAGTAAAATTTATCATAAAAATCCAAATATTGCAGCAATATATAAAAAGTGGCATGCTCTCATTTTATTCATCCCCAGTCCTGCGCCCCGAGGTCACCATATTTCTTGATTCTAGAGTTACTTCTCCCTGCTGGTTCTGTCCCTCTGGCAGTTCTATTTGTGGAAGTTTCCACCTGAGTGTTCCTTGTATAGTATTTGGCAAATAATAGGCCCCCATTTTGTTGAATGACTCAGTGAATGAAATTTGTAGATATATGCCTAATTCTTTTATAATCCAGGCTGTTGGATTTTAAGCATAGCCCTGAGGTTTCTTTCACAGAGTCACTCTTCTTTCCCCAATTGCTAAGAGTCCAACATTACACATCCCAAATGCTTATCTTTATAATGCTTTTCTATAAAGTGAAAACATTTCTTTATGCTAACACGATTTAAATTTCTTTTTTTCTTTCAGCTACCTTTGCAGCAGTGTTGCACTGGTAAGATTTTTCTTCCTCTGGTATATTTTATGCAGATGTTTACAACTCACCAAAGCTATTTCCCATAAATATAAAGAAATAATTTCAGTATGATAGGGATGAATATATATATTACATGCAACACAATAGTCTGAAAAAGTAGTTTAACTGATAAATCAAGGTCAGAATAATGTAATTTTTTAATAAAAAAAGAGATCCATTATTAAAGAGGTTATATTTGAGACTGTATTTCACTTAACATTAACATAGTGTTCGTGTTGAGAGGAAGATTAATTTTTTTAATCTTCTGGATAGAATGAAATATGAATTTCATTAATCGGACATTTCTGAAATGGTAACCCAATGACATTTATAATTCAATTTATAATTGTATTGTACTTGACTGAAAATATTCTTATTCTGGTTCATTCTAACTTTAAAATCTAATTTGAATGTGTTTCCTATTAGAAATTTTAGTAGAACTATTACAGCATACAGAGTGGCAAACAGATATGGATACCATTGTACTTGAGTTTTATTACAAAATTATGTGCAAATTTCTGGATACCTTTATTTTTGCTTGTAGAGTTTCTTTTAAAAATAATACTTAGTATAAACATCAACACTTGGTTTGTTACCCTTTTGTGTCTGCAGGAGCCATATAACACACCTCTTTGAAAATGATCGTCACTTTTCTCACCTCTCAACATTGGAAAGGGAGATGGCTTTTCGCACTGAAATGGTTAGTTTTTATGTGATATTTTCGGGTTCTAAAAACTTTAAGCTTTTTATCATGGAAATTTTCAAAGAAGTACGAAATACAAAGAGTAGACACCTCCCCTTGCCTATCCCCCAGCTTCAACAACTGGACACAGCCATTTTTCCTTCGTATACACCTCCACGCATAGGAAACCTCAGACATCGTATCATTTCATTGGTAAATACTTTCATGTGTCTCTCAAAAGAAAGGAATTTTTTGTTACCCACAGTTCTGTTGGCAAACTTGAAAACAATGAACAGCAGTCGCTTAATATCATTAAGTATCAATCCGTGTTTAAATGGCCGATTGGCTTTTTTTTTTTCTTTTTGTAGTTGGTGTGTTGGTAGGCTTGAATCAGGATTCAAGCCATGTCTGTACATTGTGTCTAGTTGATGTGTCTCTTAAGTCTTTTAATCTATAAATTCCACTTCCCATTTTTATTGTTTTGCTATTTATTTATTGAAGAATCCAGGTTATTTGTCTTATAGAATTACCCATAGTAATTCATGTTATTTATTATGTTCCACTGTCCCAAGTTTCCTGAAAATTGATAGATAAGAGACTTGATAGCTGAAGGCTCATTTTGTTTTTTCAGCAGGAATATTTCATAAGTGGTGTGCATGTATTGTACTGTACAAAGAGGCACACCATGTCTGGTTGTCTCACTTCTGTGATGTCAAGACTGATCAGTGGCTTTAGGTATTGTCACGTTGGTTCTTCCATTGTAGCCTAGCCATCAGCCTGGGCCAGTTAATTCATTAAGATTACCAAGTGGTGATTATCTAGTCTATTATGTTTTCCCTGCATTTGTTGACTGTAATTCTTCTGTAAAGAAGAGTTTTCCCATAATACTTGTTTCTCTGATGTACACGTCACACAGGTAAGACAATGCTTGATTTTTTCTTTTTATTTACTACTTTCTAGAAAAAGGAGTTGGTTTCCTAGCATTTTCTTCTGGTAACCAATGGGGTGCCTTCTTTTGCTGTATATCATTATGATCTGGTGGATTTTAGCAGGTTTTATAAACTTACCTGTCTTTAGCTGGTGAGAGCCTTTGCTGCTGACTCTGTGTCCCTTTGATGTGACCTCACGAGTATTCTGTAGCTTTCTTACTTTCTGGTACTATTAAGACATTCCTGGGGCGCCTGCATGGCTGGCTCAGTCCGTTAAGCGTCTGCCTTCGGCTCAGGTCATGATCCCAGGGTCCTGGGATCGAGCCCCGCATTGGGCTCCCTGCTCCATGGGAGGCCTGCTTCTCCCTCTCCCACTCCCCCTGCTTGTGTTCCCTCTCTCTCTGTCTCTCTCTGTCAAATTAATAAAATCTTTACCAAAAAAAAAAAAAAAAAGACATTTCCTTTCCAGACCTGGAATCATCAGTTTTCCAAGGAGCCCCAATTCCTTTCGGTGGCAAATGGTATTTAGAGACCACAAATTTGGTGCTAGAGATGCTTATTGCTACTACAGTTGACCCTTAGGACAACAAGGGGTTAGAGGTGCTGACCCCATGCCGTCCAAAATCCACATATAACTTTTGACTCCTCCCAGATTTAACTATTAATAGCCTATTATTGACTGAAAGCCTTACCAATACCATAAACAGTCGATTAACGCATATTTTGTATGTTACATGTATTATATACTATATTCTTTCAACAAAGTAAGCCAGGGAAAAGAAAATGTTATTAAGAAAATCATAAGGAAGAGAAAATAAATTTACACTACCATACTCTATCGAAAAAGTCAGTGTGTAAGCGGAGCTGCATGGTTCAAACCTGTGTTGTTCTAGGGTCAACTGTATTTGATACTAGATTGGCCAATGTGTCCAAGCCTTTTTAGTAAACAGAATTAAGAAACAGTTTTTAAATTATTAATTTATATTCATATTTTAAAATTCAAATTTAGGATTAGATGGTTACTTACTTTGTTTTAAATTTGTATCTTTACTGCTAGCCCAGGAATCTTGGTTTCATATTACTTATTTTTGTGGAATAAAAGAACCAAAGGTACTATTAAAAATAAGAGGATTGAAAACATTTTAAGACTTTCTTACATTTCTTTTTGACTTTAAAAAGGATATATTCCATTAGGATGTACAGTAGAATTACTATATCTTAAGGTTATTTGAAATCTTCTTCCAACTTGATAGTTAATTTCTTATTTTATTTTTATTTTGATATTTAGGGATTTAAAAATTTTCATTTTATAATTAAGTAAGATGTTTACGTGATTCCAAAACAAACCTACAAAACAAGATAGGTTGTGGTGGTTTTCTACGGCTGCCATAACAAATGTACAATAAACTTAGGTGGCTTAAGAAGCAGAGATTTATTCTCTCAGAGTTCTGGAGGCTAGAAGTCTGAAATCAGAGTGTCGGCAGGGCCACGTTCTTACTGAAGGCTCCAGGAAGAATCCTTCCTTGCCTCTTCCTAGCTTCTTGTGCTTTCTGGCCATCCTTGGTGCGCGTTGGCTGGCAATGGAAATGCCATCACTTCAAGCTCTGCCTCTGTCTTCATGGGGCACTTTTCCCATTGTCTCTGAGTTTAAATTTCCCTCTTATTGTAAGGATACCATTTATATTAGATGACCTTATTTTGACCACATCTGCAAGGAACCTAATCCACATAGGTTCACAGTCTCAGGTTCCAGTGGATATGAAATTTGGGGGGATATTATTCAACCTAGTACAGTAGGAAATATTTTAAAAAATAGCGATAGGAAAGCTAAACACCATAATATCAAGAACCATTTTTTTCCTTATCTATAAATATTGGGCATGCAAATCGCTTTCATATTTATGAGCCTTAAATCCAGTGTGGAGTTTGACAGCTGATGGGTGCTGGCTACTAGAGCAGCTCTAGGCAAAATTATATAGAAGGTGAGCACCCTGTACTGCCACTTACACCCCCTCACGAGGGGAGCAAGTACCGGTACTTGCTTATGTTTTGGTCCATGTATTATTCCAACCTCAATATCTGTCCTAATTCCCTCAAAATGAGAGTACCACTACTGTCCCCTTCCCCTATCCACACAGCCCCAGTCCTCCAGGGTTCTGACCTTATTCTGAGCTGGAAGGAAGGAAAATCGTCTGTAAAATTAGTTGGCATCTGAATGTAACTTATATGTAATATATCAACATGTAGCCTTCCTAATATATTTGCATTTTTACATGTAAATCTGGAGGAAAGAAGATGATAGCACCATTTTGGGGATTCAAATGGGCAGTAGGGGGAAATATTTTTGGCTAGGGGAGATTTCTTGGATCACGGTAACTTAAGTTCATGGTAAACCACTCACTTGCCCTGTTCATAAGATAGCCTTTTCTAACACTTAAATTAGTATAGGATATGGAGTTTTCTTAAGTTACATAGGTTGTCTGAGTTATGTATATTACTTTTTAAATGTTGAAACTATTTTTGAAGATATTTTGAGTTCAATTATTTTAATTAAGACAAGGCTATACTAAAATATGTAGTTCTTTTTCATAACCTAAGATTGTATTAGTGATCAGAAACCATGAGAATAATTGTAGCTATTATTTGCTTGATTGTTTTTCAAAAACAGTGTAAGTTTTTTTAAGCTGGCAAGAGGCATAGGAATTACGCATTTTTTTATTATAATTATAACTTACGCTTGTTTCAGGGACTGTATTATTCCTACTTTAAGACTATTGTGGAAGCACCCTCATTTTTGAATGGAGTATGGATGATTATGAATGATAAGCTGACTGAATACCCCCTTGTTATTAATACATTAAAAAGGTTCAATCTTTACCCTGAGGTAAGTTTTTCAATTGTGTTTTTTTTCTTTTTTTACTTTTTTTAAAGTGTTATTTGCATTAAATGCTGATTCTAAATGTGAGGTGTAATTCAATATATTATATTTCATCTAATTTTTAAAAGAAGATGTGTATCTTTTCTTGGAAAGGAATATGGAAAAAAGATTATTATTAATTTTGGTGGGCTTTAACTGATTTCATGGAAACTGTTATGATTGCATGGTCTAGAAAATTTGAAAACTGTCTAGATTCGGTGTGTAGAGATTATAGCAAGGAAGCACCATTACATGTCATTTGCCAAATAATGTTTCTTCCTTCTCGGGGATTCTTCATTTAATTGAATGCTCTTTTTTTTGGGTGGAGTGGCGAAAAGGGGCGGTCCACCCAGGAGGTGAGGGAGGAAGGCAGTGATATCAGTAACTTTTTTGGCCTCTCCTTTACCATCCCTGCCTTCATTTGACACATCCCTGAGCATTTTCCAGGGCCAAGCTGAGATGGGACTTCCACAGCCACATCCTCCTTGACTTGATATGAGGGTCATCTTTTAATAGGCAGTCCCCGTGACTTCCCCTTCTTAGCTTGCTGCTGTTGCTAGACAGCATGTCCTTGTGCCAGGGCCCTGGCTGCCTTGGTCTCTGGGGAGCTCAAACCCAGGTTCAGTACCTGGACTTAGCAGGGCTCTCAGGCATTTCCCATTGAATGAGAGAAGTCCAGCTTCCACCTAAATCGGTGAGTAAGCCGATTGATTAATGAGGAGATGGAGATAGAGACAAATACATAACCACCAAAATTCAGTGTTGGTTTCCTGATGTACTGCTTATTGAGTACTTTCTATGACCATGTACACATTTACTTTTATAGAAATGGGATCACACAGCAAATATTTTTTTTTATAAGTGCTTTTTGTCTTTTAGAATATTTATAACAGTCTTCCTGTGTCATCTTTTCTTCCTCAGGATCAGTTTTAGTGGCTATATATGGTCTCCTGTTGTTTATTTAGTCCATCTTTTGTGAAAATATTCATTGTTTTCAACTTTTAAAATATTCTGAAGCTGGGCGCCTGGGTGGCTCAGTTGGTTAAAATATTCTGAAGCTGCCATAAGCATCCTTGAAGCTAAATCTCTGTACATATCCTTAATGTTTTTTAAACTATAAATTTGTTGATGTGGAACTATTTAGTTAAACAGAATATATACTTTAGTGATTTTGGTACGTGTTGCCAAAATGCTTTCTAGATAGGTTATACCAATCAAAATTACCATTGGCAGTGTTTTTGAGAATGCTTATATCCCCGAATCCCTGCCAGTTTGAGAGACAAAAAAATTAAAATCACATGATATATTTTGTTCATTGCTGAATATGTGTATATATGTATTTCATTCAATGCTGTGCATTAAAAATGCATTTTTAATTTTAAAAGTAATTGCTTGCTTATGCCCTTTGTCTATATTTCTATTAAAATTTGTAAGAGCTCATTTATTACATACTAGATATTAATACCATGCTATATAGGTAAACATTTACCCCCAGCTTTTTGTTTGCCTTTCAACTTTGTGTATGATCTGTATGTACTTTTTCTGTACAGAAATGCCATATCTATTCACATCTTGAGAAATTAGATCTATTCAAGAAGACAGAATATCTGTTTGTTCAACTCTTCTTTTATGTACCTTAGTAGAATTTTATGCCTTTTGAAAAATATAAATCTTGTGTGTTTCAGGTTATATTTTATTCTCACCCATGAGTGGAGAGTTGAAGACTGACCAATGAAGAATCTGTGTAGGGGATTGTGAGGCTTATTTTACTAGATTTAATGGGAACTAAGTAGATGGTAGAGGAAAGGAAAATTTGATAATTATCAAGATACCTCAAAAATATTCTAGTAATGAAACTGTTGATGATAATACCTTTTCTCTAAAAAATCTAAAAAATGTCTCTGTTTTTAAAAAATAGGTAATCTTAGCCAGCTGGTACCGGATTTATACCAAAATAATGGACTTGATTGGTCTTCAAACCAAGATATGTTGGACGGTGACCAGAGGAGAAGGACTCAGTCCTATTGAAAGCTGTGAAGGCAAGTTTCTTTCCATGATATTGTCCAGTTATTTATTGGAGCACATTAAACTTACTGCAAACTTAGTGATATAAATAACCATTTTATTATGCTTATGGATTCTGCAAGTGAGGAATTTGGGCTGGGTATAGCAGGGTTGGTTTGTTTCCACCATGTCAGAGGCTGTTGCTAGACTCAGGTGACTTGGGAAGACTGAAATTAATGGAGACTGCTTCACTTACATTCTAGCTCCTGGGCTGGGGTCCCTGTGAGGCTGGGCTCAGTTGGGACTGTCAACTGGGACATCTACATAATGCCCTTTCCATGCACCATGGGCTTTTGTATAGCATAGTACCTCAGGGTAGTCAGGCTTTGCATGGGCTCCAAGTTGGACACTGCTTGGCCTCTTCTAGCCTTAGAAGTCACATGGTATGGCCTCCGCCATTGTCTGTTGAGGCAGTCACAAGCCCAGCTGGGCTCAAAAGCAGGAGTAGAGACCCCCTGTACCTCTACAGAAAGCGTGTCCGTGAGTTTGTAACCCTGTTTAAAAACCACCACAGCTACTGCCATGTTCTTATCTTTGTTCCGCAATAGGGTCATGTGTTCTTATGGGAACCAAGGCAACCATTTAATATCTGTGCCATTTTCAAAATAAGCACATTTTAATATAAATTGCCAGACACACAAAGTAATTTATAGTTAGAACATGTTTTTTTTATTTTTTTTTATTTTTAAAGGATTGGGAGATCCTGCTTGCTTTTATGTTGCTGTAATTTTTATTTTAAATGGACTAATGATGGCATTATTCTTCATATATGGCACATATTTAAGGTAAGACCATTGATTGAGAATATTTTGGTATGTGTTATAATATTATGTACTAAAATAATAAAAATAGTGAGATAAAGATTAACTTGCAGTTCAGTTTTATAACAATGTTATTTCTAATACATCCAGATACAAAATTCTTTCCTATTGGAATGATTTCACCATTGGCATAGTCAGCCAAACTTAAAATAATTTTAGATGCTCAGATAATGGTGGGGATATTGGATAAATTTTAAATATTCACAGGCTTTTGAGCATAAGCAGTATATTGTTTACACAAAATATAAGGAAACGACCACTCATTATCAAATGGTGTTAATGGCTCTATTTTGCTGACATTAAAATGGAAATATATTGTATACAGATATTTAATATCTGACCTGATTAACTTCATAGTCCAGCAATATTCCTTAAACTAAAAAGATTGACAAATTTTTAAAGGGTTTTTATGTTTCTTTTTCTTCTTTTCTTTTTGACAGTTTGTTACATTGTATACTTCTTTGAACTATTTTACCTTGAGAGTATCTTTAGAATTTTCTTTTTTTTATTGCTTACTGATTTCTTGTTAGTACAGAAGTGTGAGCATAGGTATATGATTTTCAGTTTGGGTTAATGAGTTTGAATCTGCTATTATCCCATTAGCTTTGCTTTGGAAGTATGGCATTTTCAGCTTAGTACCACAAAGATTTACTGCATCCCTAGCTCAGTGTTTGAGCAGATAATGGTTACTTGATAAATATTTGTCAAATGAGGAAGTTATTAGAAGATCAATTTAGAGTATATTTGCATATAGATTTAAGATACTTTGATGCTAATATTTCTGATTTAGCTATAAGAAAGTTCATTTAATTATGTAACTGGGGGAGACTGAAATGAAAATCATGATTAAAAGATGAGGTGGAAAATTTTGTTTTTGAAACAAGACACACAGATAACCAAAAGTATATGGTAATCAGAAGAGGAAGCTGACTTGAAAGAAAGCAAGGCCAGTGTGCCTTGTATCATGATGAGCCAAAGGTCTCTATCTTGGGGGGGAATCTATCATTCTGCTAAGTACTAATGGATAGCTTTACTACATTTGGGAGATTTGATTTTGAGTAAGAGAAGTTAAAATATGGAACATGGCAATGTTGCTGAATTACTGATCTGTAGTTATGCTACTTTTTGAAAGAAGAATTGAGATGGAAAGAAGACTTTCTAAACATTTATTAAACATTCAGTATCATTTTCTTATAATGCTTGTTATAACCATCGATTCAAAGGCCAAAGATAGAACATCTGCTGCAGAGAGTATGATGTTCTGGTTTTGATTGAGAGGTTCTAGGTGGTTTGGGCCCTGACCTAAGATTTCTTAGTCTTCAGCCCCAACAGTCCCCAGATAGCAGTTTTCTCCCTGCATAGGAGATACATGTGCATTTGTCCAGTCAACATAAAGTATGGACCGAGTGGCTTCTTTTGGAGATGGTGTGCTTGGGTTTTGAAAGCATGTGGTGGGGTGAGGTGGGAGCTGGAGGTGGTGCTGAGTGTGTGTCAATGGGAGACAGACAGCAAAGATAAAGGGCTTATAATGCTGGGGCAGGAGAAATTTGTTCTGTGTGGAGGGTTGCTTTACTGTGCCTTGGAGGGTCAGAGCATTTTGGATAGGTTGGGGAGAAAAGAATCCCAGGGAGCGGCAAAGGTGGACATCCTGGGATGTGGAAAGCGGATTGGTTTTGCTAGGATGCAGATTATTGAGGGCTGTTGTAGAAGATGAAGGCTGAAGAAATGGGTTGGGCTGGTTGATAAATGACCTTGGCTGGTCTGAGACTATTCCAAAGCCAGGGAGAGAAATCAGAAATTTGACCAATAGAGGGACAGGATTCAAGCTGAACTATGATCTCATGAGACCCTTGACTTCACCTGTCACTGAAGTTAGCCAGTGACTACTTGAGCGTGCTGTCTGCCAAACTGCAGGTGGTTTTAGAATCAATTTAGTGGGTTTGGATCAGGATTTTTTTTTTTTTACATGAAAAAGAAAAGATTATAAACATAAATAACAGAGTACACAACATTTTGTAAGATAGGCGTTGTTTAGAGAAACTTCTATTTATTGATTGTATATACATGTCTACATGTGCATGTGCTGAGTTGTAGTGTAAAGTCTCGTTTCTTGTAGTTTGAGTGTAAAAAAAATCTGTAGACCACTGCTTAGGGTAGCAGGAGGGAGTGACTTTGCTTTGAAAGCATGTGAGTCTTGGGGCACCTGGGTTGCTCAGTCAGTTAAGTGTTCAACTCTTGATTTTGGCTCAGGTCATGATCTCAGGGTTGTGAGATTGAACCCCGAGTCTGGCTTTGTGCTGGCTGGGTGTGGAGCCTGCCTAAGATCCTCTCCCTCCCTCTTCCCTCTGCCCCTCCGCTCCTGCTCCTTCACTCTCTCTCTCTCAAACAAAAAGAAAAAAAAGGCATTTGAGCCTTTCCAAATAGCTGTTTTTGGTTTCTCTTCTTGGCTCCGAGGGATGCAACCTGTTTCAGCTTTACCCACTTGACTGCTCTGGGCCCTAGCTGGCCCTTCGGGTGTCCTTGACCCTTGGACCCCCCAGGGTGGTCTGCCTTATGCAGCTGTGCTTGGATGTAGACACTGCAGTGGTGGCACATTTTCATTTCTCTAGCTCTCCCTTTGCTCTGTTTGCGAGTGTTTTTTTAACCCTGGATAATCACTTTAGCTCTATCCAAACACATCCTAAACTTGTTTCCTCCCAGCCCCGAATGAGCATCCAGTTCTCCTACATTATAATGCCCCTTGTATTCTAGGGAGCCTTGACTATTGCACTGTGCCTTGAGGGCGGGTGTGTAAATTAGATTCCAGTGGTGATCCTGGTTTATATTGTGTTGAATAAAGTCTCTGTCACTTCTTTTCTATCAGTCTTTTTCATCATATTTTAAAATGTTCTTGACATGAGTATTTTTTGAGGTCTCAGATTGCTAGGTAGTTCTTATTGTTTTCTTCCTTGGTGGTTAGTTTTGTCACCCTTCTAACTTTGTAAAGTGGGACGAAGCTGCAGACTTCTTAACATGTGGGTTAAGAATAAAGAGGAGGATATCTATAATTGTGGTTAGAATCTTTTTATAAGTTGTATTATATAAATTTACAGGCAGATTGAGTATGACATTTTTACTCCAGAAGTATATTTCTTTTAAAATAGTACAGATATAAGCTTTCTGAAGTCAGATAAGCCAATCCATTTCACAAAAAATGAAAGTGGAAGAGAAAATAGAAAACACAGCCAAATGGTGAAATGGGGCTGGGCTGCCAAGCTCTGACATGAGGAGATGAAGTCAGATGTTTTTGCAAACACAACCTATTCGTGCTGTACCTCTTTTTCTGGAATTCTCAGTATTTTGGTATCTTTAAAAATAAAAATTAAAAAAAACCATTGTTAATTATTTTCTAAAAGCTGTGCTGTTAATTCATGATTACAGTTATTTATTTTATAAGATGCCCTGACATGTGTCAGCTACAGTTTCTGGAGGCCAGTTTTGTAAGACTTGGTGTGGGTAAGTCTCTATTCTGCAGGGAGGAGGGTTCCCTGAGGGAACCTTCAGGGACTGTTAGGTGAGGGAGTTGAGCTGCCACGTGTTGGAGTAGTCGTTTAAAGCAACAAGCCAAAAGTGAAAGAGTTAAGCCTTTTATTACTTACTATGATGGTGTAACAAGATTCTAAAACTGGAGAAAATACAGACTCCCCCTTCTCCATTTCCCCCCATGGAATAGTGCCCTGGTTGAGAATCGAGGGATCAGGGCAGACATGAGGGTCATCTCATTGTTGAGGAAGCCCTGAACAAAAGGTGAACCTTTGGAATTGTCTGTAGTTGGGCCTCAGAAATCATATATGGGTTTTTAATCAGGAGCCCGACTCCCTAGGGCATTAGTAGGCAAGGTCATGAGCTAGTCCTGGGATGAATGTAGGACTCATTTGGCAGGGGAATCTGAAGAAATGTAGTGTGGGCCTGGTCCTGACTGTCCAGCAGAAATATTGTGAGGGGAAGAGTTGTCCCCTGTTTCCAGATTCACCACTATGTACCCTGGCTCTCAAGAGCATACTGAAGCAGAACGATTTCTGTAGGTGAAATGAGTGTCCTTAGCTGATGCCAACAGTAAGGCATGTAGAAGCCAAGACAAAATATAGACAGCAATCTGTCCAGGCTCACTGGGGCTGTATTCTCAGGTTAAATAAAACATGAGGATCTGGGCATGAGTCAGTACTTGATTCTGGACTGACTGCTTTCTGTTGTTTGGTGTACATCTGTCACCTTGGCATTTTCCTTCACTACCCAGAGTTCTTTCATTGCTCTCTTATAATGGGATCTCTTATGCCATATCCTATGTATTCTACTTTCTTGGTTTATTTTTTCACTCTGGTGCATCTTCCATCTTCTAGAAGTCTTTGAGAATGAGTGGAAGGGAGGTAATTTTTGAGATCATGTGTATCTGAAAATGTCTTTATTTTGTCTTCATGTTTGATTAATAGTTTTGCCGAGTATTGAACTCCAGACTGGAAATCACTTTCCTTCAGAATTTTGAAGGCGTCACACTATTGTTGCTTGACGTGGTGCTGTTCAGGCATTCTTCAGTTACTCGGATTTCTAAATTTTTGTATGTGACCTTTTCTTCCCTTTCTTTTCTGAAAGATTGTAGAATCTTCTCTTTGTCTCCATGGTTCTGAAATTTCATAATATGTCTTGCTCTAGATCAGTCTGTTCCCATTTATTATCTTAGTCATGTGAGCGTTGTTTCAGTCTTGCACCTTATGCCCTTAATTTCAGGGAAATTTTCTTGGATTATTTCTTCACTTACTTCATTCCTTCTGTTTTCTCTTTCAGAACTTTTGTTATTTGGATATTGCGTTTCTTGAACCTCTAATTTTCATATATTTTCCCATTTTTAATATCATTGCTCTTCTGTATCCTAAGAAATTTTGTCAACTTTATTTTTCCAACTCTTCTATTCAGTTTTTCATTTGTTA